GCTCTGCAAGCCCCCGCCACTATCCAGCTTCCGCTGGGCTGGGGACAGTGGCCAGGATGGGGAGCAGGCGGCCAGGACAGGTGCCCACAGGTGCCCCGGCCCGTGTGCATGTGTCCTGGCGTGCGGAGGCAAAGCAGACCGGCTCCCTGCGGCCCACGCCCCTCCCCACACCCCCTCGGGGCAGCGGCCATCAGTCAGGGTCCCCTGGCCTGGTGCACCCCCAGGGTGAGGCCCGCAGCTTTCTGGAAGCCAGCGGAGCCCTCAAAGGCCGCGGGAGGGGCCTCCTGCCCTTGGGCGTCCACAGCCAGGGCCTTGTCCGCCTCCTCTGGCTGGGGTCAGGCCTGCCCACCGGCGCTGACCTGCCCCCGCAGCCCGAGGCGTTTGGAGGCTGCGCCCCCTGAGATGCGATCACAGGCGAGGGCCCACTCCCTGCACTGCCCCGAGCTCCCCTGGGCGGGCAGCAGCGGCCGGGCAGCAGCCCAGAGCCCCCCCCACCTGCGTGCCTGTGGGGCTCCCATGGGGGGCTGGGCTGAGAGGGCTCCCGCGGCCCCCCAGCCCGCCCTCCTGTCACGGGTGGGACCCCCAGGCTCTGGCCCCGGCCGCTCCGCCCTGCGCCCCGGTCTGGACCCCCACAGGACAGGGCCGCCCCGCCCGCCGCGCGCCCGCGGGCCTCACTTTGAGGGAGTAGGCCAGGGCGATGAAGCCCAGGCAGCAGAAGTTGAGGTAGACGAAGTTGAAGATGGACCAGAGGTAGTAGTCGTTCACCTCGCTGGTGTCGGGGCACACCTCGATCACCGCGGCGGGGTTCGGCACGGCCTTCTTCTCCGCCAGGTGCTTGCAGGCCTGGGGCGCGCCGGCCGCTCGCACGCCGTCGGTCTTGCCGCTCTTGGACTCCATGGGGAACAGCGTGGGGGCCGTGGGGGGCGAGGCCGCCGGCTCAGGGGCCGGGGCCGTGGGCGCCTGCAGGGCGGGGGGCTTGGACACGCAGGCGAAGCAGCCCTGGGGGGAGCCGGCTGGGGGCCGCGGGATCCAGAAGGCCCCGTCCAGGGGCCCGCGGGCTTCCTGGGCGCCGGCCGTGGTGCTGGCGGGCTCCCAGCTGGGCTGGGCTCGGGCGGGCCTGG